CTTTCTCCAGGGAGGCGCACAGAGTGAGCGCGAGGAGGCGATCTACATGATTCCGCCCAAGGACCCGATAGTTCAAGCCGCCGGAGTCTTCACCGCCCCGCTCTACGAGGTGGTTGGCAACCTGTACGGTCAGTCGACGGCGCCGTACCTGTGGTACAAGCACGTGGTGACGACCTTCCTGGCGCTGGGCGGCAAGCTCCACAGCCTCGATTCAGCTCTCTTCTTGTGGTTTTTTCCGAACAACGAGTTGGCTTGCGCAGTGGGTATGCACGTGGACGATGCTCTTGCGGCACACCATCCCAAGTTCGACTTCACACCGATCGAGAAGGCTATTAAATGGCGAGGCTGGCAGTGGGACAACTTCGTCTTCCTCGGCGAGGAGTACCAGCGCCTACGTCAAGGTCCGTACAGTGGAAGTTTGTTTGTTCATCAAGCGGCCTACACTAAGGCGATTGCAGTCACGAAGGTTGGAGTTATGTCCAGCACTCGGTCTTCTTCTAAGCTGACGCGCTCGGAGCGCGAAGATCTGGAGTCTGCTGTCGGTTCGCTCCAGTGGTTGTCCGGACACACACGTCCAGACCTGTCAGCCGCGGTTTCCCTTGTCCAGAGGACCGACCCCGAGCTGAACGACCTACGGATGGCCATGAAGCACGTAGAGTACGCGCACCGCACAGCCCAGACTGGCACCCTGATCGTCCGCGTCGATTTGAGCCGCGCCTGCTTCGTGAGTTTTGCAGACAGCTCATGGGCGAACGCTCCGTGATTGAAGACCCAGATCGGCACCCTCATCTTTCTGGCAGACGAGGTGATACTCACCGGACCCACGTCATGTACTCTCTTGTTTCACAAGTCCAAGAGAACGCCGAGAGTGGTGAGATCTACGCTGGCTGGGGAAGCTATCGCGCAGGACCTGGGAGTGGACTACGCGTCGTACTTGTCGAAGTTCCTGTCCGAGATGCTGACCGGACGGCCTGCTGGCCGACGCCCACCGATCTTCGAGGTTATCACCGCTACCGACTGCAAGTCTCTGTACGATGCCCTCCACCAGCTCACCCCGAGTTTGTCTGAGAAACGTATTGTGATCGACGTGATTTCCATTCGTGACGAGGTGAAGGTCAAGAACGTCAGGTGGATCCCTGCGACGCACATGATAGCCGACGGCATGACCAAGGAGGATCCGAAGCTTCGCGAGAATCTGACCGAGTTCTTGGCGGACCCAGTGCTTTCGCTCGTGGAGTCGATTGCTTGCGAGGAGCTGACCGGTGGGGATGGCCAAGTACAGAAGAAGTGATATGATTTTCCACTTGCACGTGCCGGGAGTCGCGTTTCACTCCCATCCGCTTGGTTTTGCCCAAGATATTGCGAGTTTGATTTTCCACTTGCACGTGCCGGGGGTCGCGTTTCACTCCCATCCGCTTGGTTTTACCCAATGCATCACCGATTCCGGATGCCGGTATCGAGTTTCGGTTTATTGATTTCAGCTGCCGATCCTTGGCCGCTCAAAGAATTCAGTTACTGTCTCATTTTGTGCTAATCCGAGTCCGTGCTGCAAACAAGCCCGTTGTATAGCCAGGCCGCATTCTGAGTTTCAGAGCAGGACCAGAGAGAACTCCAGGAGTGCAATAGTCATTTTGTTTATCTGATAATGCTGGTCCCTGCTATTGCTGTTGCATGCTCTCACCCCTCTGCCCGTAAACATATTGGCTGAGGGGGCCCCCTTTTGCTAACGCTACCAGCTATCATAACTTATCATTTGCAGCGAGAAGGTCTTGGAATAAAAGATTCACGCATCTTATCAGCGCCTGCGTGTGCGTTGCAGTTCTCTGTCTCTGACTTGTTAGAGAGACACTGACATTTGAACACTTGTAACAATCGCGCGCGCGGCGCTGCTCGCACGTGCCCCGCATAGTAACCTTCGCAAGGGATTATTTACGAGAACGCTTCTTCATTCAATGCAAGCGCACCGCATCGGACCATTGACAGGGATGAAGGGGGGTGGTCGATACCAGGCCGAGCTGGCATTAGATATTGTGCTCTTGAAGATGAACAATCATGCGGGATAGTCAAGCGACTACCTCTCACGCTCGAGCAACCATCCTGCCCACCCACCTAGAACTTGTTGGCGAGCGCAAGAGGGCGTGTCATCGGGGCATGTTCGCAAGCTTCAACTGGCGCCGTCACGCGCAGATTCTGCGCATGCAGGTCCATTGACTCGGGTGGGCGAGTGGTGATGGTCACGACGGCATCGGCGTCGACGACGGCATCATCATCGCCTTGGTACCGTCATCCCGCATGGTAAGGACGGGCAACCTTCCCAAGGGGATCCTTGGATCCTTGCCCCTTCGGCCCATCCTTGGCGACACTTGCCAACCTCGTTCGAAAAACGTCAAGTTGGCCCTCCTATGCCCTTGCATCCTTACTGCGCATCCCTCTGATGCGGGTCGACTGTCGGGGCGCCTCCCAGCAAGGACACCTTTCATGACGGCGGCCCGGCGATGACGAGCACGAGCGCGTAGGCGGTCTTGGGCACTTCTGCGAGCCCCGGACAAGGAGGGACGAAGACGACTGCGGGCCCCGGCGGCAGCAGAGGAAGACTTGCTGGCAGCATCCGAACGACTGACGCCCAGCCCAGCTGCAGCAGGGACGCCCAGGCATTGTCCAGGGGAACGATGACATAAACAGAAAAACTCGGAGGTCCGCGCGGATTTCTCGGATCGGCGCTGGACCCTCCTCCCCGGCGCGCGGAGCGCGCCAGGGGCGCGGCGCCGGAGGCGCCGCCAGGGGGGTCCAGCGCGGATCCGAGAAATCCGCGCGGACCTCCGAGTTTTTATGTTTATGTCATTCTTCGTTCCCCTATGTGTGTCGACCCTATGCTCACGTACGAAGCACTCCCACCACGAACCCTCACCAGGCCTCGGGGCCGTCGAGGCCGAGCTCGGGACGCCTCGGGGCCAGAGGGCTGCCTCCCCTCGGGGGGTCGGCACGGGGGTTTGATGACTCGGGTTGTGGACGACGACCAGCGGAGAGGAAGCACGTTGCCAACTGTGTCCAGGCGTCTAGCAACTATTTCAAACATAAGTATGTAACACATGTCTTAACATAGTTTTAGAGCATGTTTCAAACATTTCGACCACACTTTAATCCAATGATCGGATTGTTAGGGTGACCATTGTCATGGCATCTACAAGACTTGGGGGGATACACGGCGGGGGCCATGAGATCCCCCAGCAGGGCTCGAGCTGAATGGTGCTGTGGCATTTTTTTTCTTGGCCGTCTTCGTTTGGCTTTCTTCTTGCAGCAGCGGTGGAGCGAAGACGGAGCGAGGGGAAACAAAAGCAGAACGAAGACGCAAAGCTCTGTTTGGCTCGAGCCCGGCTCCCCAGATGCCACGGTGCCTCTCTTTATTTCAATTCGTCCCTTTGGCCGCGCACGTTCTTCGGTTCATGACTTGCGACCCGCCCCTCTTGGACGCCCTCCTCTGGGGCGCACCCGACTCCCCTTGGGGCGGCGCAGGGGCTCGAAGCTGAGCTCGCGCCGCGCACTGCAGGGCGGGACGTGCGCGCGGCGCCAGCTGGCAGCTGGCACCAGCACTAGGCATGCCCTGCCTCATGGGAGGAAAAGCCACCCGGACCCGACAACCAGCGTTTACCAAGCGGCCCTGGGCGTCTACTGAACAGCCCTGCCCTGTGCGATTCCTCCTGTGGGTGCGTGTACAAAATGGCTGCGCGTGTCGGAGCGTTGACCGTGAGGGTGGATGTTCTGCTCTCTACTCTTGCCCATCGCCGCTCCCGCCTCCGGGGACTGTCTTCGGCCCCTTCTGCGGGCCGGCCGCGCGCGCCGCGGCGAGGCGCATCTCTTGCCTATGCTCGCCCATGCGCAGTAGGGGGGGGGGAACGCTTCTTGGAAGGAGGCTTCTTCTCGGAAGGCGTGGGCCTCGTCTGTAGATGTAGGGCCAGCGCCTTCTAAGAAGCAGCCTCCTTCGGGGAAGCCTTCCCCCCTCACCCTACCCCCCTCGTCGCGCCGGCAAGAGCGGGAGGCTGGAACGTGGGGTGGCGGGGTGGCGTGGCTCTGGGGTGGGCCTGCAGACAGGCCGCGATCCTCTCGTGCAAGGGAGGGGCGGGAGATGGATGGAGGGGTGGGTGGGAATCGGATCATCGGAGGTTTTGGGCGAGGACGAGGACGATGAGGGGGAGGAGGAGCAGCGTAAACCCGTAAACCAACGCCCCATCCACGATGTTGCACTAAGCCTTCCCTCCAAATCCCTCTTCGCGCTGTATCGCCGATGTTTCGGCGATGCGGCGTGATCCTCCGACCCCCTCTACTTCGGCCCTCTCGAGAAGCCTTCCTTCCCTCCCCCTACCTCCCTTTGCGCTCCGCCAGGCGTGGGAGGCGGGAGCGTGGGGGGGCGGGGGGACTTGGCTCCGGGGTGGGCCCGCAGACAGGCCGCGATCCTCTCGTGCAAGGGAGGGGCGGGAGATGGATGGAGGGGTGGGTGGGAATCGGATGTCTTGGATGATGAGGAGGAGGAGGAGATGGAGGAGGAGGAGGAGGAGGAGGAGGAGGAGGAGGAGGAGGAGGAGGAGGAGGAGGAGGAGGAGAGGAGGAGGAGGAGGAGGAGGAGGAGGAGGAGGAGGAGGAGGAGGAGGAGAGGAGGAGATGGAGAGGAGGATGAGGAGGAGGAGGAGGAGGAGGAATGTGAGGAGGAGGAGGAGGAGGAGGAGGAGGAGGAGGAGGAGGAGGAGGAGGGGGAGGGTCAGGAGGCGGAGGGTCAGGAGGAGGAGGAGGAGGAGGAGGAGGGTCAGGAGGAGGACGATGAGGGGGAGGAGGAGCAGCGTGAGCCGAAGTTCCATCCACGATGTTTCACTAAGCCTTCCCTCCAAATCCCTCTTCATGCTCTTCGGCTCCTCCCTCTTTGTCCCGCTCGCCACGGGCAGCGGCCGCGTCGCAGGCCCCCTGGGGCGGGGCGCGCCCCCGGGCCCCAGCGCGCGCGCGGCCCGGAGGTGTGGCACCTGCGGAACGGCGGGCGGGACATCGCCCAGGCCCGAGGGTCGCGGCCAGGGCCCTGAGGCCTCTTTCGCGTCGTGGCGAGCAGTCGCGGCTGATTGGTTTGTCGATTTCGTCTGATGGGTTGTAAAGAGGCCGTTCCTGGGGAAGGGGTCCAGACCTTTTCGGGGCCGTGTTGCGACAGCAATCGAGCAGTCGGGTGTCTGGCGATGAGGGACGGAGTGATGGTCGGGAGAAGGAGGAATGGGAAGATGATGAGGAAGTTTAGTAGGGTGGGGAGTCGGAGCGGCCTGGCGGATGGAGGCTCCTTTTCCTCTTCCTCCACCTCCTCTATATCCTCTTTCGTCGTTGTTCTTCTCCTTCTCCTCCTCCTCCTCCTCCTCCTCCTCCTCCTTCCGCGCGCTTTCATGGCGCGAGAGCGCACGAGAGTGAATAAGCAGGAGGGCTGGGGGCCTGGGGCGGGGAGGGAAGGATGAAGGCGAGCAGGAGGAGATGGAGGAGGCGGTAAGGTCAGGTCAGACCAGGTAAGGTAAGGTAAGATAGGGTAGGGTAAGGCATGGTAAGATGAGGCAATGCTCAGCGAAGACCCAGGCTCCGACGATCTTGGGAGAGGGTAAGGGGTTCCCCGTTCAAAACGAGGGTTCGGCATTCCTCGACAGGAGGGCGCCCGCGACGGTGCCCCTCGGCACACGTCGATAGGGAGGAGAAGCAAGCGGAGGAGAAGGAGGAGGAAGAGGAGGAGCACAAAGGAGGATGGTGGAAGAGGAGGAGGAGGAGGAGGGAAAGGATTGATGGAAGAGGAGGAGGAGGAAAAGGAAAAGGAGGAAGAGGAGGGGGAGGAGGAGGAGGAGGAGGAGGAGGAGGAGGAGGAGGAGGAGGCGGATGCGAAGGTACCCCCGCGTTCTGGGGCTGCGAGGGTACCCCCTTTTGGACGGCGTGGATCTCGGTCCGCGTCGTCCTGCGGGTACCTGCTCCTGCAGGGGCAGGCCCCAGCCACTGTATTGACCCTCCCGTCACGTCGCGGGGCAAGGGTGTGGCTGGGGGGGTCGTCCTACGGGCACGGTTCAAGACGTGGTCCCACCTGACCCCCCTTGTGCAAGGGGGTCTGCGGGGGTGGGCCTGAACACCCATGACCTTCCCGCACCGCGTGCCCCGCGCGGTGGCCCGTTGGGGTTGTCCAGTGTCATCTGGTGCTGGAAGAGCCAGGTAAGCATGGGGGCCGCTCACCTTCGGTGAGTCGGTGCTGCACGTCGCGCAGCACATGTGAGGCGGGCGTCTCTTTCCTTTTCACTTTTTCTGTTCTTTCTCTTCGTCTCCCCCCCATCGGGCCCTGCGGGGTGGGTGCGGCACCTCGCTCCAGGGTGTCGCGGGGTTCGGGGTCGGGGGCTGGACGTTTGGCTCCGCCCACCCGCCCCTTCGCGGCGCGTCGGATTCACGATGCGCTATGGCTGCGTCGAGGAGGGCGAAGATGTGTGGAAGCGGGAGGGAGTAGAGGAGGAGGAGGGGTCGGAGTGAGGGATGGAGGGAGGGCCAGGAGGATGAAGGGGGAAGAGGACAATGGAAGAGGAAGGGTCTTGGGTAACCCAGCGGGTGGAAGCTCCTCGTCGTCCCCCCTGTCCCTCCTTCCTCCGCCATCTCCACCTGTTCCGCCACCTCCACCAAATCTGTCTCCTTTTCTTTTTCCTCTTCTTCCTTCCTTCACTTCTCGTTTCTTCCTCCCCCCCCATGTTGGCTCGCTGTCATTCCCTCCCCGTTGGAGAACGCGGAGACCTTTGGATCCGATGGGGGGCTCCATCTGTTTCACGCTGCGTGCGCCCACAGAGGTGCCCCGCGCGCCAGCGGCCGAGCTCCGCGCTCTCCGGTCTGTCCCGAGCGAATCACCTTGCACCGGCGTGCTAGGTTTCTCCTTCGGTTTGCCTTTGGGAAGTATTTACTTCCAACGCATATCGCAATGAATTCATCGTCTGCAAGCCGCGCCGATACCGTTGGACTTGGCGCGGCACAGTAGCGTGTTTCTCCTGCGGGTAGCAGTGGGCGCTGCGCCGGGCAAGCGCAAGCATCATGCTGGAGTCTGGGGAAGAGGGGAATCCACACCTCCGCGGGCGTCGCAGAGCCGGCAGCAGAGCGAGCAGCTCCCCCCAGGCCTTCCTCGAGGCTCTCTCCTAGCACCCCGCGGGCTCTCGCGACGACCTGTTCGAGCAAATCCAGGCGTCAGTGTGCCCGCAGCCAATCTCCACTGCGAAAGAGAGGAGCAGGCGCTTCAGTCGTCGCTCGCGGTCCTGGGCGGCCGCGGGGCCAGGGTGGACACATCCGTGGAGGAGGTCGCACGCGTTCGCGAGTGGCTCGACAACAGGCTCCACGCCCAAGAGCATGTCGTCATGGTGCGGGTAAGTGCATAAGCATCACGCGCCAATATCGAATAAATCCACGCGAGGCAAAATTGGCCGCCGCGCGGCGGTGCTAGCAGCAGAAGCAAGCCTCCCACGGCGCCTTCGTTGCCGACGTCGCCGTCTGGACCGATTTACACATTTGCGACGACAAGGCCCGCGGGCATATGGGAAAGTGGAAGAAGGACCTTGGGGGCCGAACCGAAGCCGTCAACGAGGGCCCGGAGAACGTCGGGGAGCTCTCCGAGAAGGCCAAGGAGTCGGTGGCCAGCCCAGCGAATCACAAGAGTTCAGGCCATTCCCGCAGCTGCGAGCCACATTCCAACGAGCAGCCGGCTTGCAGGGGAACAGCAGCAAAGCGACCCGATCCCGCGGAGCCAAGACCTCCTAACGGCGCAGCTCCCGCAGCGCGCGCTGGCAGGTCCATCAAACATGACAAGAAGGCAGCCGACGAGGTCGCCGGGGCAGCCACTGGGGCGCCGCGCAAATCCCGCAAGGGAAAGGTTGCTGGCAAGGGCGTGGCAGCTCTTGATGTGCTTCTGACAGCGATGGCTCTGGTTGGCAGCGTCTGAAAATGGCGCCAATAATCGCGCGAGCCACCATGCGAAGTCGAAGACGCACGCGCCCTTCGGCGACATCGCGGCATGGGGCCCACAGGCTCGAGGGCTCGCGCGCTGCAGGGGCGGCGGCTGCCCGGCGATCGAGCTGGCAGAGACCCGCGCGGCGGCTGGCAACATCGCTGATCACAGGGATGGGCTGGCGGTGGCCGGCTGGGAACTGGCGGGAACTGGCGGCCATGCTGGCGGTCTCCGCCGACAATCGGGAGGGCGCCTGCGGCGGAGAGCGGATGCTCGCGAGGCGCGACTTTTCGGCGAGGTCTATCCCGGCCGACCGTGATTTCTGCGCGCAGAGGCAGGGCGAGCGGCCGCGCGCGGGCTTCCCGCCTTGAGTCCTGCGCGGTGCCCAGGACAATGTCGCCGTCGTCGCGGCCCACTTGCGACCGGGCCGCCGCTGCTGATGGGGCCGACCAGCGAGGCTTTCCCGCGGTGGTCGCCGCGCTCGCGGGTGGAGCTCTGTCTTGCTCGGGGGCGCCTCCGCGCCCGCGGGTGGGGCGGCGGCGCGATCGAGCCCGCCCTCTCCGCAGTCGCGGGCAGCGCGCGCGGGGGCCAGCTGGCCGAGCGATGCCTAGGCCCACGCCTATCCAGGCCCGCGACAACAACAACTACGCGATGCAGTGGGCCTTCGTGGATGACGCGGCGGCGAGGCGCGAGTGCCCCGAGGACCTCGCCGCGGGGGAGTTCGCGAGGGTAGCTGCGGATTTCTTCGACGGACTGCGCGGGGCGGAGTTGGGGGCGCCCCCCCTGGCCGCCGTCGTCGCCTGCAGCTCCGGGATCGCACTCTCGATCCGCGTCGCGCCCAGTAAGAAAGGGAGGCCGCCGAGCAGCGCCCCCCTACCGGCGTCGACCCCGGCGGCGGCCCCGCGGCCGCCGAGCGCAGCGTCGTCGCCGAGGCAGGGCGATGAGCCGAGCAGGTGACGACAAGGACTGGGCCGATCACCGACAGGATTCGCAAGTGCGCGTCACTCGCCAAGCTCCGGCAAGGTCCGTGAGCGACGGGGTCGCAAGGGTTGGCGCCGCGTTCAACCCTGCACCTCTGCAGGCTGGCAGCGTAGGCGATGGGTGGCAAGGCACCTGGCAGGCGCCTCACTCTTGCGCCGGCGGCGATGGTGGCGGACAATGAATGGCCCTGCGAGCGAGTTGCGCACGCAATTCAGCACAGAGTGGCTCAAGTACTGATTTGATAACAAGATGTACCATCTCAGGATCACTCCAGCCTCGCGGAGGATGCGCAAGAGGACCGTCGACCTCGGCAATGTGAGGCGGTCCAAGGTCACGAGCTCCATCAGTGCGGTGCTGTCTGCGCTGGCGGATGCTGGGCGGCAGCGCCCGTTGCCGCGCGACTGGGCCTCTGCGGCCCATGCTGGGTAAGGGCGCCGAGCTTCCGTGGATCCTGCCCGACTTCGCCATCGGCGATTGGAACGCCAGGCGCAAGGTCATCGATCCTGCGGAGTTCGCCCAAGTTCGCGGAGCAGCCCGCGGGGGGGCGCGGCCAATCCTTTCTATTGGGAGGGCCTCGGTAGGGGCGCCCCGACGCCGCCGTCGTCGAAAACGGGGTGGCGACGTGCGTGCGACGTGGGCAGCGCGACTCCTGGGCCCCCAGCTTGCGCGCGGTCGCTGGCAGTCAGCGACCGAGATGCAGGCTCGCCGACGCGGACTGCCAGATCGACGCCGTCTGCCCCAGGTACGGGGAGGCGCAGGAGACGCCCTGGCACCGTGTCTGGCTGTGCCCGAGCAGCAACAAGAACCGCGAGGACTGCGCGGAATCTGATTCCCCCATGCCATCCGCGCTGGCCAGTGCGGGGCCGCAGCCTGTGCCTGCGTACTAGCTTCGAGGCGTCGCCTCGGTCGCCGACGCGTGCCTTGTCTGTTCGACCATGGGAGGGGGCGGTGGGCGGAGTTGGGTTGGGCGGGGCTGGGGGTGGGGCGGGGCGGTGGAGGGATTGCGGCGGCTTCTGGACCCTTTTTGGAAGACGGCTCGAGAGGTCAGACCCCGGCGCGCCCTCCAGCGCCACCGAAGTAGGCGGTGGTCCTGGGGCGGTGCGCTGGCTGGCCTGGAGGTCCCCTGTTAAACGGTTCCCCGCGCAGAGCTGACGGCTTTCGCTCTCGCCATCGAGCTCTCGATCGGATGCGCCCTTGTCGCGGCCGACCGCCCGCTCTGCGACGGGCGGAGAGCAGGTCGTGATCGTCGGCCCAGTCGGAGACGAAACGGGATCCGCGGCAGAGAATCCAGAATTCAGCAGCGCAGCGCGTTGAGCTCGTCGGGGCCCCGTGGATGCCCTCGCGCAGCGAGGCGAAACAGATCCGGGTAGTGACCCACGACAGTTGTTCCTCACCATCGGCAGTCCTCGTGCCGACGCGCGGGACGGCGTTGCCGCCCGCGACGCCCGAGCGCGGGCGTTCCTCGGAGCCGCCGCCCCCCCTATCCCCCCGCGGACCTTCGCAATGCCCAGTGTGCTTTCATTTGGCGCGCAGCCCGTAGAGCCCGGGCTGATTCCACCACCGCGGACTTGCGGGTTTGCGAGTTTGCGAGAGGCCGCCGACGGCCAGGTCTTCGGGGCCGGGCAGGCTCAAACGGGCCCCCATGGACCAGCCAGCCTAGCTACGAGCACTGGCAGCAAGTGCGAGTGCGCTAGCTTCCAAAGAGTGGTGGGCAAACCCACCATCCTCGCAGCTGCATTCACTCCGTGCGCTCCCAAGGAGCGCGCGATTGCAGACAGCGAGGTCATCGTGGTTGTTTCAGGCCCAGTCTCTGTCTGCGGTGGGGAGCCCCACCACTTCCACCTCTTGCGCAGGACCGCTGCTGCGGCAAGACGGCCTCGCAGGACCCGCGCCGTCTCGCAACGCAGTGCGCGGGGATCACGCTCACGGGCAGGTATAACCTGGCCAAGGTCGATCGCGGGGATTTCCCGAGGGCTACGGGTATCACGGTCTTCGTGTGCGACGCGGGTGCTGCTGACGTGGCCGCGCCCCTTGTCGGAACGAGTCGCCTAGGCGGGGTGGGAAGGTCGGGCGGCCTCTCGCCTGTCGACGAGTACCCGGCGTTGGCGTTGTCCATGCCACCCTTGCAAAGGGGCTCCCACCTGTACAGCAGCAGATGCGTTTGCGCGGGCCGCCCTTCAGTGCTCGCAGCAGCAGCAGCAACACCAGCAACATGTTCGGGAGGAAATGTACCCGGCCGTCGTAGCCGCCTCCTTGCGCCCCCTTTCGCCGACGCGGTCGGCAATAGCATGTCTGATGACACAGACACATTCGCACGAGGTGTGTACAGCCCACTGGAACGGTTTGTTGAGGCTCGCTCGCAGGCCCTGACCCACACACCTTGATGCGCTTCCTTGTACTGCCTGATGCATCCTCCTCCTTTTTCTCGTCTCCTTCCCAACGACTGCATCCTCTGCATCTTGCTTTTTGCCTCCGCCGTCCTTCCTCCTCCTTTCTTCCTTGCTCCCCTCCTCGTCCTTTCCGTCGCTGTCCGCTCCCCCTCCTATTCTCGGCAGCAACAGTCCAAGCGCCAGATGTATCATGAACACTATTTTCTGCGACAGGTTTCCGAGTGGCGGGCAGCAGCGGCAGGCATCAAGAGACGACCCGCGGCGGAATTGATCTAAGGGATCCTTATCCAAATTCTCATGCCGTATGTGGGCGCCTCGCCTCGCCTCGCCTCTTCATCTCTTTCTTCCCGCCGCCAGACCACCCTGACCCTGCACCCCAACGGCTTCTGCGTCTCCGACGAGCCCGCGGGGCCGGAGGCTCGCCGAGCTCAGCTTCGCGCCCGAGGGCTCAAGGCTTTTGCGTTAGCCTCGCGCGCGCCCAACAGGGGCACGAGGCCCAGGGAGAGAAAAGCAGCCACAGGCGGCATCAGCGACGGCGGTGGCTGGGACAGCGACGGCGACGACGACACGACAGACGACGGGACACCCGCAGCGGTACGTCGGGCCCGCAGGAGGAGGAGGAGGAGGAGAAGAGGAGGAGGTGGAGGAGGAGGAAGCGGAGGTTGAAAAGGAGGAGGAGGAGGAGGAGGAGGAGGAGGCAAACGCATAATTCGGGACTGCGATCATCGACCCCCCCCTGCTGGGCGAAAAGATATCGCTTCTCGCCCCTGGAAGTGATGTCCCGTCCCCAGGCCCTTCAGTGCGGGATCCCACCAAAATCATAATCGGATTCCAAGAAGTCCAGAGCGGCGCGCGCAGCCGCGCTGTGCTCTGGACCCCGTCGCTGAGGTACGACATGAAACAAATCATGGGACGAGACCCCACTCGGATTCCAATGAGAGATCAATAGGGTTGCAACTTGAACCCAGTAATATGCCAACTCGCTTCTGGTAAGATTCTGATAGCGTTCAAAGAGGATCCCAGGTCCCAGTAGTACTCCACCATGTGACTCTCCCACGGGAATCCTCCACTGGAGCCTTCTAATTGGCAAAACGGGTCGCCCTCCATCCCCCGGGAACACCATGCGAGGTCAAGACGGGTGTAAACGGAAGGAATTTGCATGGTTGGGCGCAGTAGCCGCAGGTGAAATTTCTTCTGTTTTATATCATCCACAGTCTAGTCAGCTAATTTCTACATGTTGCTCGCATTCTATTGTTGTCTTACTTCTTAGAAGGATTGGAGCGGGCCGATTTAGGAATACTGGTGCTAGAGAACGCGGGCTGTGCGGGGGGGAGGGGCGATATTCCCCGTTGTGGACTAGGACTAGTCAATTCCACTGCTGGCGCAACACCCGACCTAAGCACCCGCAAATTGATTTGCAACACCCATGCGGCGGCGATTGCGCTGACTGCTTGTGCTTGACGCTGGCTGGCACATCGCTGCTGCCACGCTGGCGCGCACAGGCTCGCGCGCAGAGCGGCCAGCTTGTCTGGCGCCGCCGGCGCGGCCGCGGTGGCGCTGACCGCTTGGGATTTCCCAGCGCGTCTCGCAGGCCTGCCTCGCAGGCACCTCGGTGCGAGTCGGTGATTCTTGTAAGCGCTGTATCATGGTGACGTCGGCGGGCGCAAGCATGATGATAGCAGCGATGCTGGTGACGCTGGTGGCGACGCCGACGGCAAGGCCAATGACGGTGCCGATGCTGGTCACACCGTCGGCGATTGATGAGGGGTTTGACGGCTTTCGATCTGAACGCGCCGCCCACGGGCGCGTCTGGCCAGCATGGCCAGGAGGAAGAGGGGGAGGAGGAGGAGGAGGAGGAGGAGGAGGAGGAGGAGGAGGAGGAGGAGGAGGAGGATACAGCCTCAGTTGTACCGATCAATGCGGCACTACCAATAGAACAGAAGGGCTATTTCCGGTTCGCACTGAGGTTTATTTTGGGGTTATCTTTTTAGGGTCAATGCCGTCTTCTCTGATCTTGTGGGTGCCTATTTAATTATAAATTATTGTCCTGGCCTCGTTTTCCAACGTTGCCCGCGGCTCCCGCCAGTTTAACTAGTTTTTTCCCAACCCTCCTTGGTTGGGTATTCGTTTTGAATAGAGCAGGGTGGTCGCGTCACTCCTCCTGCCTCCCGCCTCCCTCTTGCCTCTTCCTGTCTTGCCTGCGGGGGGCTGCGATCTGTGAAACTGTCGCCACTTTCGAGGCCTGCTGGGGGGCCCAGCACAGTGAGGGCCACGGGCGGATTCAAATTAGACCTCGCCATCCCTGGGGGGCTGCGATCTGCGAAACTGTCGCCATTTTCGAGGCCTGCTGGGGGGCCCAGCACAGTGAGGGCCACGGGCGGACCCAAATTAGACCTCGCCATCCCTGGGGGGCTGCGATCTGCGAAACTGTCGCCATTTTCGAGGCCTGCTGGGGGGCCCAGCACAGTGAGGGCCACGCGCGGATTCAAATTAGACCTCGCCATCCCTGGGGGGCTGCGATCTGCGAAACTGTCGCCATTTTCGAGGCCTGCTGGGGGGCCCAGCACAGTGAGGGCCACGGGCGGACCCAAATTAGACCTCGCCATCCCTGGGGGGCTGCGATCTGCGAAACTGTCGCCATTTTCGAGGCCTGCTGGGGGGCCCAGCACAGTGAGGGCCACGCGCGGATTCAAATTAGACCTCGCCATCCCTGGGGGGCTGCGATCTGCGAAACTGTCGCCATTTTCGAGGCCTGCTGGGGGGCCCAGCACAGTGAGGGCCACGCGCGGATTCAAATTAGACCTCGCCATCCCTGGGGGGCTGCGATCTGCGAAACTGCCGCCATTTTCGAGGCCTGCTGGGGGGCCCAGCACAGTGAGGGCCACGGGCAGATTCAAATGAGACCTCGCCATCCCTGCGGGGCTGCGATCTGTGAACCTGTCGCCACTTTCGAGGCCTGCTGTGATCCCCGTTTTCGAAGTGGCTAGGAGTGCTCAGGAATTGTAAATCATCAGCTTTATCAAGCCCTTTTCCTGTAGCCAGTGTCCTGCGAGTCTCCCGAATTCCGTCTGCAGACATATGTACCCCTCGCTCCGTCATCGCCCCCTTATAAAGTATCCTAAACTATTTGCGCCCCGCTTTTGCGCAGGGGTTGGGTACGTCGCCAGGGTAATGTATTGAGCCGAGTCGCGTGCGTCTTTAGTGTGCCACCTTCAAGAACGCCACAGGTACTTTCGTACGGTGTTTAACGTCGAAAGGTGAGGAGCAGGTACTTTCGCAAGGTTTGTTTAACGTAGATGGGGGAGGGGGAGGAGGAGGAGGAGGAGGAGGAGGAGGAGGAGGAGCGGGGAGGAGGAGGAGGCAGGAGGCATTGGAGGCAGGTGGAGAGGAGGAGGAGTAGTAGGAGGAGGAGAAGGAGGAGGAGGAGGAGGAGGGGAGGAGGAGGAGGAGCAGGGGGGAGGGGGAGGAGGGAGGGAGGTAGAGGATGTGGAGGAGGAGAAGGAGGAGGAAGGGGGAGGCGGAGGAGGAGCAGGAGGGGGAGGAGGAGGAGGAAGAGGAGGAGGAGGAGGAAGGAGGAGGAGGAGGAGGAGGAGGCAGGAGGCAGGAGGTATGAGGAGGAGGAGGAGGAAGGAGGAGGGAGGAGGAGGAGGAGGAGGAAGAGGAGGAGGAGGAGGATGAGGAGGAGGAGGAGGAGGAGGAGGAGGAGTTGGAGGAGGAGGAGGAGCAGGAGGAGGAGGACGCTGAGGAGGAGGAGGAGGAGGAGGAAGAGGAGGAGGAGCAAGAGGAGGAGGAGGAGGAGGGGGAAGAGGAGGACAATCTAGGTGCGCTCGCGTCATATCCGACGTTATACCCTCCCTCCCATCCTTTACTATGACGAAGATCCCCTCTCTATCCGCAATATTGGATGTCGGAGCATGGCATAGCATCACATGTCATAACCGCATAGCATGGTGTTGACGACCAACGCGGACATGACATAGTATGGCGTGGCGACGCCCCAAAGTAGAGGCTTTTGCGGCCCCGAACTGCGAGTTGACACCGACGGTGTAATCACTTCCGATGGTTTCGTCGGGAGCCCATTTTCTAGATTTTGGAGCCGATTTGAGGACAGAACACCATGCCGTGGCATGGCACTGGAAGCACTGACGCCAGCGCTGCAGCTGGAGCACGATTTGGAACGAGCGGAAGCGCGGAAATGAGGCCAGCGCTGCAGCGGGAGCACGATTCGGAACGAGCAGTAGCCCGAAACTGAGGCCCGCGCTTCAGCGATAGCAGCATTCTCAACACCAAGGAGAAATCACAAGCGCGGAAGCGCTGTCATGAGGACGCGTAGCCTGGTTATAGAACGGCGTGGCGACGCCTCCAAATGGGGGGACTTGCGGCCCCCAAAATCAACGCATCGACACCGAATATGGGGTCACGTCCGATGGTTTTTTCGGGGGGGGGGGAGTATTTTGGGGCCTATTTGGAAGGACCGAAAACCATTCCGTGACATGGCACTGGAAATTATAACAGCAGGGCTGCATCGGGAATACGATTCGGAACGAGCGGAAGCGCGGAAATGAGGGTAGGGTTGCAGCGGGGGCACGATTCGGAACGAGCGGTGGCCCGAAAGTGAGGCCAGCGCGTCAGCGAGAGCAGCATTTAGAAAAAAAAAACAGCGCGGAAGCGCGGACACGAGGACGTGCAGCCTGACATAGCATGGCGTGGCGACGCCCCAAAGTGGAGTTTCTGCGGCTCCAACAATCAAACACTCGACACCGAAGGTGGAATCATTTCCGATGCTTTGTTTCTTTTCCTTCCCGGGGGGATATGCTTTCGGTTATTATTACTGTTATTATTGTTATTCTCATTATTATTATTAGTAGTAGTATTAATATTTTTGGGCCTATTTGGAAGGACCGAAAACCATGCAGTGGCATGAGGCTGGAAATAATGACGCCAGCGCTGCAGCGGGATCACGATTCGGAACGAGCGGAAGCGCGGAAATGAGGGTAGCGCTGCAGCGGGAGTTCGATTCGGAACGAGCGGTAGCCCGAACATGAGGCTAGCGCTTCAGCGAGAGCAGGATTTTATAAACAACCCAAGAACCCGTTTCCCGGGAATCCTATGTGTAACAAGCCAGCACGCAGAGGGGTGGGCGAACATTTGCCAGACGCCACCAGGGTAGAGAGGAGAGTAGTATTCATATTGTGTAAGTGTGGAGGAGGAGTAAGAAGAGGAGGAGGAGGATGAGGAGGAAGAGACCCGCCCAGCCTGAGGCCGATGCCACCAGTCAGTCCACACCGCCGACGGCCATGAAGGTGGCGGGTCGGACGAGACACTCCGCCTCATCCTCGCTCCTCTTCGCTCCTCCTCGCCTTTGTTCCTTCTCCTCCTCCTCCTCCTCCTCCTCCTCCGGCCGCTCGGTCTGAGCTGGTGCCCTCCCTTGGGCGTCGCCCTCGTCCCCAACGTGCTGCTCACCGTGCTCTCCGTGTGCGAGGCAGGCCCGACACTCCCCTCACTCGCCTGTTGATTCCCCGCCTCCAGAAGCTCCTCGGGCAGCGCTCCCTCGAGGTGGACTCCATCTGCTGGGACGGAATCAAGGCGATGCTCACACGCTGTCCCTTGCTCCTTGGCGTGGGCTGCACTGCGGACGTGGGCAGACGCGTGGCTTACCTCCTCGAGGATCGTCCACCCGCTGGGCAAGCGGTGCTGCGCCTTTGGCTGCCGCGGGGCTCCCGATGCTCGTCGGCATTATGCCCGCTGTCGCCCGCTCCGCGCTGCGTTGCGTCGAGCGTTGGTCAAGGTATTCCCGCTGCCCATCATGGAGTGCTGATGTCTGCGGCCCCCCACGCTCCACGCGGTCTCCGTGCTGAGTTCTCTGTGCGCGGCCTACCACACGGCGCGGACGATTGCCGAGTTGCCGCTGTCTGGACCCCAGACTTGCAGTTGTGCGTTGGCCGGGGCACGCTCGATGCGCATGGCGACGCCGCTCCGCACGTCCGCCGAGGAGAAGACCTGAATTAACACCGTTCGACAGATGCTGCGACGCTGACGGCTCATCCTCTTCCTCGTCTGCCACGTCTGTGCCATCGTTCTCGGCCTCGCCCGCGCGCCTCCCACGGTTGAGTCCCTGCGCTCTTGTGTGAGTTCGCCTCCACTCTCGCGCAAGCCGCGCGCTCCGTGTGCCCCACCCCTCTCTGCCTCTGTCGGTTCTTCCGCCTGTGGCTAGTGGGGCCGCAGTTCGTTTTCACGACTATGCAGCATAATCTTGTCGCTGTGTCTCCCGTTGCGCGATACAGACCCACGTGACGCTATGCTCAGGCCCACACTTGCCGTGGCCGACCCAGATGACCTGTCAGATTCTCGACCCAGATTTATGCTCATTCCTCGCTGTGTCTCCCGTCGTTAGGCCTGCCGCCCCTGGGACGCCGCTGACGGCCGTCACCACTCCTGAGATGGTCGGCCGTCTCGAGGACCTCCCTTCCGCGCCCTCCTCCGACCCCCGCTCTCCCCGATCCTGCCGTCACCCAGCTCATGTCTGCGCGAAGTGATGCGAGCAGCGCCTGCTCGCCTTGGCGCCTGCGTGTCGGCGCTCACGCCGCGCCCCGTGACCTTCGCTCCTGAGGTCTGCTCCTGCTGTTGCTGCCCCTCGCCCCCTTTCTCCCCCTCCTCCGCTCACAGCACCTCTCTGGACGAAAGTGCGGCTGCGCACGGCGCCGCCGTCGCGGCCGCGGTGGTCGAGGCTCCCGCGGCGCCCGTTCCCGCCGCCCCGCCTCTCGGGGCTGGGGTCTGGGCCTGGGGCTCGCAGTGGCGGGCAGCCTGGACGCCTCCCTACGCTCGTCTCCTCCTCCTCCTCCTCCTCCTCCTCCTCCTCCTCCTCTCCCTCCCTCTCCTTCTCCTCCCCCTTCCTCATCCTTCTCCTCCTCTTCCTCCCTCTCCTCCTCCTTCCCCTTCCCCTCCTCTTCCTCCTCCGCGTCTATACCTTTTCCTTCCACGTAACGTTCTGTCGCACCCTGAATGGGGGCGGCGTCAGTGGGGGATCTGGGCTAATTCGGACCAGAATCCGTCGCTCCAGAGCGTTCCAGAAGGGCCGCGGCGCCCGACACGTCCTCCAGAACCGTGGGGTCTCAGTGCTCCCCGCGCTGTCTTGGTCCGAGCGTGTCTCGGTCCTGGCTTCGTACTCGGACAGGCTTATGTGGCAACGCATCGACCCCCAATCGCCCACTGCTCGCCGACTGGGGCCCTCGTGACCCATGGCCCACCGCGCCCAGTAGCGTGCGAGTGAACCATTAGGGGCCTATCGCCGATCCATCGTTTTTTTTCCGCCGCGTGGGCGAGGGATCCCGAGGGAAACGTTGCGCCGTGTTCCCTCTCCCAGGGCCTTCCTCGGGCCCTGGGACTGTCAGGAAACGGCTCGGGATGACAGTCTTGTCTCCAAGAAGCAGCCCCGGGGTCCGGGACCCGTTTCCCTCGGGACCCGCTTCTTTCATGCCAAGTTTGGCGGGCCAATTGCAACGGTGGGAGTTGTGGTCCTTACCCCCCTCTGGGGGACCATGCGACTTCGACGCCCGTATCGAGAGATCGTCAATACGCTGGGCTCCCCCCAGGGGGGGAAGAAGCACGGCTCCCCCAGGCATGGTTGGTCGGATTGATTTTGAGGTTGTCCGCCGTAGTTTGTCCGGCGTTTCCCTCCTCGATCTGCTTTTGCCCCGCTCCTGGCTTCGTTTTACCTCCCCCTTCTTCTGTATACACCCTCTCCTCGCCCCGCGTTGGGACTCCTTCTCCCCCTCCGTACCCCTCCTTCTCCCCCTCCTCCTCCCCCTCCTCCTCCTCCTCCTCCTCCTCCTGCCTGTTTGCAAGGCCGGCTGTCCTGCACTCTCTCGCGTCTCCCTGGTTCTTACGGGTCGCCTCGTTTCGGACGCTGCTTGACGGCAGTGCCAGCTTGCGAACATTCGCTGATTCCGCTCGCTTACCCCCGTCGCGAGGCAGATGCCTCAAGGACACGGCTAGGCCGTACTTCTTGACAGGATGCATTCGTAAGTGTTTTTTTGTTCTGCCGGTCTTCTTGAGATGGTTTAATTTGCTTGCCGATCGCCTGTACGGTGTTGTACTGGCAGCCCGATCTCGCTTCGTCGCTTCCCCCTCCGCGCCGCGCAAAGATAGGACGGAACAGCGCAGCTGTGGAAGTCACAGCCGCCAGCCGACCGCGGCGGTAGTTGGCAGATGTTCTCGCCCCTGTCTTCGGGCCTGCCCTGTGACACGGCTAGGTGTCGCGATCTTGGGCTTATTCGTGTTCGCCTATCCGTGTAAAGTTTTGCCCTCTGTAGTGTGCTTGAATAACTGATCGAAATGCCGCCCCCCACCAGGCACAAGAACTCAGAATGCCGGGCTCGCCGATCCATATGTTATCGAATGGGCGCGCCGTCCGCTGGAGCTTCCACGCAGCACTCCAAGGCACAGGAGTTCTGTCGTGGATCGAGCGGGTTACCAGCCCGACCCCCACCACAATCCAGAAGTACAGTCAACCCGCGTAGCATGGATGGGCAACCTAACCTTCCCAAGGGTACCCTTGCATCCTTGCCCCTTCGGCCCATCATTAGCGACTTTCGTTGGCCAACCTCGTTCGAAAAAACGTTCTCGTGTCCCTCCAAGGCCATTGCAACCTTTCAGCGCATCCTTCTGATGCGGGTTGACTGTCAAGTAGCTTGCTGTGGAATCATGCTGGCATGACCGGCGAAACCCATGGTCTCCGACGATGAACATCTATGCTCTCGATCTGCCTCGTGGGCGATTTTGGGACCGACATGGAGCGTCCTGGGGCCCTCTGGAGGCCCTCCTGCTGCTCTGGCAGGTTCCAACATGAAGATCTGCGCTGTTGATTTTACTTGTGGGCCGTCTCGTGACCGCCCTGAGGGCCCTCTTGGGATCCCCTCGGCGGCCCTCCTGCAACTCCAGCAGGTTATTAGCCCAGAGTGACTTCGTTCCGTGCGGTCCGGACCGCAGCCCCAGGCCATTCGCACCATCGGGCCACCGTGCCCTTCAGGGTGGTGACTCCAGGAAACTGGGCCCACTAACGGGATCAAGGCGCCCCAAAACCAGATTACCTCAAGTCCTCCCCCTCGTCTTTCTCCTCCTACTCTTGCCTCTTGTCTGCCTGCGGAGGCAGGTCCATTGAGAACCTCC